GGGGGGGGGAAGGCATTTAAAGCCACTCAGTCCCTAAATTCCCTATTCCCTGTCTGCTACCACCTACCACCAATGGGAGATCAGGAGCCCTTCCTCTTTAATCCCACGGTACATCTCCGTTAGAGCATTCTACCAGGATGTTTTCGTTGTTGGTGCACTGTCTTCCCCACCAAGGCTTCTGCGAACTCCTTAAAGTCAGCCACTATGTCTTGTGCATCTCAGCACCTCCACAACACCTGTTCCCACACATAATAGAAGCTCAATAAAGGTGTGTTAGATTAACAAATGTGATACTGTAGGAAATGGATATAGATGCATATGTGTGAAAAACATCATCCAGTTCAGGGTCTGTGTTCTGTAGACTGCAATGTCCTTGCTCTCTGATGTTTCAGGAAGGTACACCTCAGCTGGGACCAAGAAAGAAAAAAGGAATCATTCAACAAATACCTAAAGGGCCCTCTGTGAGCTTCAGGCAACAAACTAGGCTCTAGGGTTATAAAGACCACATCTTTATCTGTAAAGAGCTCACAGCCCTGTAGGCACCTAGCTGGTAAGGATCTCACCCCCCACCAGGGAGCAGAGATGTTAAAGTTAAAGCCAGATGAAGCCATGCGACTCCCAGTTCTAAACTGCAGTGCTCTTTCCACTAGAACAATGCCTTTCAAATGTTGAGAGGGCTCAGAGTAAAAAATACATTCTGTAGCACTCCCCAGTACCGATACACACACTTCTGATTTTTTCATCTTCACTCTATTCTATTTCACTTTTTTTTAAATGTTCAGCCTGACACACTAAATTGGCTTATGACTCAAAGGTGGAAAAATACTGCTCTAGGAGATATATTCTTAAAGCTTTCTCCAGAATTTCAACATCTGATATAATTCCTAATAGTTTTTCTCACACAATGAATTTGTACCCCAGCAAAAAAAGTAAAACACTATCAGAGAATCAAATAACCTTCAAAGACCAACAGAGTCCTGACAGCTGCCGCTTGGGGAATGAGAGGAAGCTAAACCTATCTCTGTCGGCTTTCCCTAAAGCCACCAACCTAAGAAAGAGAGCATTTGCTAGGCAAAAACAACCTGGTGGCAAGCCTCTCGACACCCCAGCTCCCTTCCAGTCAGACTATGGCCGAAAAGACTCTTATCCTTTATCGAAATTCTGGAGCTTCCACTTACAATCAATTTTTTATTTTTTTTATTTTTTTATTTTTTTTAAAGATTTTATTTATTTATTCATGAGAGACAGAGAGAGAGAGAGAGGCAGAGGGAGAAGCAGGCTCCCAAGGAGCAGGGAGCCCGATGCGGGACTCGATCCCAGGACCCTGGGATCATGACCTGAGCCGAAGGCAGACGCTTAACCATCTGAGCCACCCAGGCGCCCTACAATCAATTTTTTAAAATGATTTTGTGTAAGAGACTTTAATTAAATATGTTTGGATGGGGAACAATGAATTTATTAAGGTAAGTGAATGAAAATCAAAATGAACTATTTTAAAAACATTTTGTTCAAAAAAAATCTCTCGGGGTGCCTGGGTGGCTCAGTCGGTTAAGCATCTGCCTTCGGCTCAGGTCATGATCCCAGAGTCCTGGGATCGAGCCCCACATGGGGCTCCCCGCTCAGCGGGGAGTCTGCTTCTCCCTCTCCCTCTGCCTGCCACTCTGCCTACCTGTGCTCTCTCTTTCTCTGTTAAATAAATAAATAAAAATCTTTAAATTAAAAAAAAAAAATCTCTCTCTGCAATATGCCAGTCTTCACTTCAGTTGAGGGGAGAGAAGTGTAATGATTTATCCCAGATCTGAATAAAACATGCAGAAATGGATCATTAGTTAAGTTAGTACCTCTTCTGGTTTGCTCTTGAAATATTAGGGCAAAGGCAGTACACAAATGTTCCTCAACATGAGATGTGTGTACAGCACTTTCCATGAAAGGAAATGTGGTAGTAGCAATCATTACTACCTAGTAGTAGCAAGCTAGGGATGAAAACCCCAATGTCCCCAGAGTTCTTTCCAAGAAATGCGTTCCCCTGGAAAGTCACAAACAGGCAGAAAGACCAGAAAAGCCCTTTCTCTGTGTTCTGTGTCCATAGGCAGTACTCCAGCTCTGAAAACACAAACTAAGTACAAAAATGTTCATTCAAGGTCTTGGGCTGACTAGCCTCACCATTCGCCATCCAAGAAGCAAGTCTGAGTTTAAAGGACTCATTTTTGTGACATTTGCCTCAAATTAAAAGACAATTTTATAAAACTTAATAAATCTTCCTGTCTTCCCAAAAGAAAAGTGTTTAGAACTGAGTTTAGAAAAATATCCTCTCTATAGAGATAAAATGTATTTTCCTATGAAAAAGGAGAAAGGCATACTATTTATCAGATTTGCCCAATAGAACTTTCTGTGGTGATGCAAGTGTTGCGCGTCTGTACTCTCTGGTACAGTAGCCACTAGCCACCCAGTACTGAGCACTTGAAAGGTGGCTGGTGTGACTGAGAAAGTGTATTTTAAATTTTATTTCATTTTAATTAATTTAAATTAAAATAGCCACATTCGGCTAAGTACCTCCCATATGGGGTCCTGTAGGTTAGAGAATCAACGTAAGCAGCAGAGCTGGCTAACTGGTTTTAGACTTAAATATCACAATTGAAAAACTGATATTCAATACCAATATTCAATTGTCAGCTTCCCAATTAACATTTAATTAATTAATATTTAAGTTTTCTTCAGAAGTGGTTTTTCAACAGTTTGGCAATTTTTATTCCAAAACATGAACATCCCAGATCTGCTGAGCAGAATTCCTCTGGCAATGTTCAATTTTCCATCTGTGAAACTTAAGCACAGGGGAAGGAAAAAACTGAAACCCACCTTCCTCTTGAACAAAGGGAAGAAATGGAACACATACTCCAGACCAAAGGCTAATATAACCTCCTAGACTCACGGGTACATCTGCTCATCAGCCCCTACTTGTGTTGCTTCTTTAACCCAGTTGTGGCTTTCCACAAAAGTCATTTCTACATGTGTTTGACCTCTAGATTGCATTCCCTTGTGATCAGGCCAGGACCAGACCCTCTCAAAGTATACCACCTATATGAAAACCATTTAAAACACAAACACTAAAATATTCTGTATTTTAAATGGTCAGAATGGAGTAGCCTGAAGAGAACAGATGCTTCAGAAAGACTAAAATACGCAGATCACGCCAAGACCACTTTCCAAGCAGGTGGCAAAAGAAACTGCGAAGTTCCATAGTCAGCAAGGGAAAGACAACGCAAGAAAATATGCTCAGAAATGCGCTGCGGCCATGCTGTGGCCAAAGGATAACTAACTTTAACTTCAAGCAGCACCACTGCACTCAGTATAATCTCAAGGTCAATGCTGAATGTTGTTCAGCTTCTCATCATGCTAACGCCTATACACAAACCACACACACAAGCACAAACATTTCACTAATTTCATTGTGTTTAAGTAGCATGAACTTGTAGAACTTTATCTAAAAATACTATGAGTTGATTTAAAACCAGCAAAGGAGTATATTACGTGCAGAGCAAAGTCACTAGTACCACATACCATATTTGGTGACACTTAAACTATACAGAGCAAAGCAATTCTAAGACAGCAGTGTAACTCAGGTAAGAATTCAGCATCATAGATGAGAACTTCCTTTGTTTTCTCTACCACTACTACTACTACTACCACAAAGGTCCTAAAAAAGGACTAGAAGCTCACCTACTATATCCAAAGAGCATCGGATCTCAATGAGACCCAGACAGGGAAGCAATGCATACACTATCCCGGGAGCTTTGGGTCTTACAGAATAATACATAGCTTTGCCAGAAGGAAAAAATGCTTCATCTGGGGCAACTGAGAGCACTCTGACCTGCAAGAGTCTGTTAGACTCCATAAAACCTATGTTTTGTCAGTCCTTTTCTTGTGTGTATGGATAAAATCTACAAGATGCAGCCTGGGCAGGAAAGAAGAAGACAGAGAATTTAAAATGGGGAACTGCCGCGCTGTTTGGCCCTGAGAGCACCCTCGTAGCCTCCTCATTCTTCCAAGCTATGAACTAGACTCCACTGACCACAGAATCTGCCGCATGATCTCTAAGGAAGCTATCAATTATAAAATTCCATGATAAAAGCCTCAATGTCTAAGACAAGTACTAGAACCTCAATGCTTTTTTTTCCATCATCTCAATTTTTAGGGGAAAAAAGTCAAATAAATGTAATAAGACAGAATTTTCACAGCAGAGGCCCAAGTTCTCAAAGTGCAGAAAGCTTATAAACAGAAAATAAAAATAAACACTACTTCTCATTTAGTTCTTTAAAAGTCCGCTTCAGAATAGCATTACTCCTGCTCCCCAAAATGCAATTTAAAGGCAGAAATATAAATCTACTTAAAGACACCCAGAATATAAATTAGCAAAGATAAAACTTAATTCTTATATTTAATAGTCTAATAGTGATTTATGAGATTAAAATATAGATTCTAGTAAACAAAAGAAACATACGTAACAGAAAAGAAAGCCATGTTTTGCTTGGCTCAAAGTGTTAACACAGTACAATACCACATTAAATGAAAAAACTTACTAAACTATCTTAGCACAAATATGGCTCAGTCCTTCTTCTCAATTCTAATTGTATTTGTGGGCTAAGTATGTTATTAGTATGTTATTTCATTTTATAAGCCCTCAGGTCCTATATAACCCATGCCTATTCCTCTAGGTGAGTTTTGGAGGACTGGTTTTGATAAATATCAAGCACATTAAAGACATTATTTAAGAAATTTATCAGTATATAACTATGAAATTATACATCTGAAAATATCATCCTTCCTAAATTGGGATTCTGAAAAAAAAACTCAAAAGAATTGTTTTCTATTTTTTTTTAAGAGCCAAAGCAGCCAAGCACCTTCAACCCAAAGTGTAATATATATTTAATCATGGCTCCTGACTTAAGCATAACATTACAAATTGTTTCATACGCGTTAAACAAAAGTGCTCACACTCTTACCTGTATATCCAGCATACCATCCCCAGGAAGCCACCATTCCTAAAAGCCATTTATACATGATTCCTTCAATATACCAGAACCGCTTACTGTCCAGCAGTCGAAGGGGCTGAAGTATAATTACATAGCAGATGTAGGATGAAATAGCAACCAGGTTGTTGGCGACCATGAAGGCAAATCTCATCAAGGCTTTCACCAGGATCCAGCCCAGCCACGGAGCCTCTTCCAAAGTCACAGCCATGCTCACACTGGCGTCCGTCCTGTCTTTCTGAGGTGAAAGAAAAATTCATTTAAAAAGGAAAATGGATTACACACATCCAGATAGTCACCAACATAGAAATCGCCTCCAGCACAAAAACACCAGAAAAACCGAGAGGGTCTAAGCCTTCCCGGTGTAGTACCTCGGTGATCTCTCCGGGAAATTCCAGAGGGGGACAGAGAGCGAGGGAGGAGGAGCCGCACAAGGTCAAGGGAGCTGTTCACAGAGGCACAGGGTATGTCATAATATATTTAGCAAATGATTATACTATTCCCACTAACTAATCAGCGGCTGTCCCCGCACCGCGCCTCACTGCAGTCTGCTGTGTGGACTTTCAGGAAGAAAAACAGAGCCACTCGCTTCAGACACCCTCAGTCTCTCCAAACTGACGACACGAGTGGAAGAAGGCTGTTGCAGGGACCCGATCCCATTTCCCAGCTATGAGAACCTGGGTACCCGCACCACCACCATTCCTGCACATCGATCGTGCCTTAGAAAGATCTCTCGCATTAGCAAAAAGAGTTATGCTAACAGTGTTCATTTGCGGCAAAGGGGTTTTTGTCTCCACCACCCCCCCCCCAGCTTTTTTTAGGGGAAAAAGGACAGGGGCCTAGAAAAGAGGGCAGAAAGGTGAGAGGAAGAAAGTGGGGGCTAACACGGCGAGAGGAGAAAGGACGGGAGTAGGGGGAGGGGAGCAAAAGCCAGAAGGAGGTGAAGGCACCGGGGCCACGGATGAAGAGAACGAAGTCCCCGGGCAGAGGGCAGGCGAGCGAGGGTGATGGAAGAAGCGCGAAGGAAGAGGCGACGGCAGCGCTCGGCGGGGCGCCCGCAGCGGTTTCCGCGGCCCCGGCGAAGGGGTCGCGGCGGCAGGGGCGGCCCGCGCGCGGGGCTCACCTCGGCGGGCGCGGAAGGCGGGCGGTGGAGCGCGGGGGCGAGCGGGGCCGGGGGCTGGCGGCCCGGGGCGCGGTGTTGCGCGGCGGCGGCGGCGGGTGTCCCCGGCCGAGGAGTCGCGGTCATGGACGCGGCGGCGGCCGAGGCGCGGCGCGAGCGGGCGCGGGGGCGCCCTACTCCCCTCGCGGCTGCCTGCGGACAGAGGGACGGCGGGGACTCAGAGGCCGGACCTGTCACCGGGGCGGGTCCGGGGAGGCGGGCGGATGCCCCGCGCCCCCGCCTCCTCCTCGGGGCCTACCGCGCCCTCGTCCCTCATGCCGCCGCCGCCGCCGCCGCCGCCGCCGCCTCCTCCCCGGGCCGCACGACGACGACACCCCTTCCCCGCCCCCTCCGCGCCTCTTCGGGCCCGGCGCCGCCGCAGCCCCGGGCCTGCGCCCGCCGAGCCAGAGGTTACCTCGGGCTGGCCGGGCCCCGGCCCGGGCTGTGGGAGCCAGAGGAGCCGGAAGAATGCATGGCCGGCGGCGGGGCCGGCGGAAGGAGGCGGCGGCGGGGCCCGGCCTCGCTCCGGCTGCGGCGCGGCTCGCGCCCGGTCCCCGGCGGCGCCGAGACTCGCTCCCCGGGGCCCGGCCGCGTTCGCCGGGGTGGCGCGGAGGGGCGGCGGGAGGAAGCGGCGGGAGCCGAGACTGCGGCGGAGCCGCCCCCAGAGCGCCCTCTAATGAAGGCGCCGCGGCCGCCGCCCGCGTCCCGGAGCCCGCTGGTCTGCGGGGTCAGGCCCCTGGGGCTGCCTGGTCCCTAGGCCGGCGGGACGTCGCCGAGCCCATTTCCCAGGAAGAGGGCGGCTCAGAAAGGTCTGGTAGTGAGCAGCAAGCCTTACACCACACGAGGAGGGCTGCGGTCCAAACTGAGAGCCCCTTTTCAGCCAACACAGCCGGTTCTCATTGTTAGGACCCTCCCTCCTCTGACAAACCGATTAGTGCCCAAACTGGGAAGCTGTCTCCTTGAAGGCTGGATGTCCTCTTTTCTTTCCTAATGAAACCCAGTTGCTCTCACGGCTTCTCTTCTGAACCTCCCCAGAGTATTAAGGTCTAGAGTTTAAAATCAATTCATTTTAAGTGCCAGAATTCTTTCTGGAGAGCACCCAGAACATTAATGAAAATTCCGATTCCCCATCCATGTCCCCATCCCCATTCCCCTAAAGAAAAAAAAGAATCTAATGGGAATGCGTGGTCCACACAGAGACACTGACATGTAGGTAGTCGAGAAGGGAGAAGCACTTAGGCAGCGCCTGCCATTAAGTGCTCAAAAAATGGTGGCCATGGGGTTCCCTGGACAGTCCGGCTCACTCCTGGACACTGGAGCTAAATTCTGTTTCAAATGCTGGACCGCCATGAGGAGCATAGACAAATAACCCAACGACCTGCCCACGTGAACATTCTCAAATGGCCTACCTCCATTTCAGTTTTTGTAAAAACCCCATAAAATCTTATATCTCTTAATCAAATTTGTAAATGGGGGTTGGGGGCAGTTTTTACAGGTCCCTAGTGAACTGCCATGTTTAAATCAGAATGCCACCTATTCTGTCTATTTTGAAGATATTTGTTACTGTGTTTGCTTTGGACTCTCAACTATTTAACTATTTCTCTCTCTCTCTCTCTCTCTCTCTTTAATTCCCTCGTTGGTCCACAGGTGAAAGAAAGAGAATTCACTTTTATGCCATATGAAAGAATACTTTCTATTCCCATCCCCTCTGGCGAAGAGGAAATGCATGAAAGCACAGAGCCTGGCTGAAACGATTAGATTTCTTTCCATTTATTATTAATTTGTTTTTATTTGTAGATGTTATTTATCTCTTTCACTAATGTTATATTTTAACTGTGTGGGGCACAAAAAGGCACAGGCCCTAGCAGAGAACTTTCCATATAATTTCAACTAATATATAGCAATAGAAAAGTTATATATGCCTTTTCTAGTCCTCTGTATTTTCTCTGAGAATTTAGGTACCAAGGTAATAGCATTTTTAAATAAATTTCATGAGAGAAACAATATATGTACAGTAGATTATTGTTCAAAAGATGCCATCATATTCTTTTTTTAAATTCGAGTATAGTTAACATAAAATGTTGTACCAGTCATAGGTGCACAGTATAATGATTCAACAATTCTATACATTACTCATCACAATAAGTATATTCTTAGTCCCCTTCACCTATTTCACCCATCCTTCCACCCACCTCCTGTCAGGAACCCCCAGTTTGTTCTCTATAGTTAAGAATCTATTTCTTGGTTTATATTTTTTTCTTTGTTCCTTTGTTTTGTTTCTTAAATTCCACCTATGAGTGAAATCATACGGTGTTTGTCTTTCTCTGACTGATTTATTTCACTTAGCACTATAACCTCTAGATCCATCCATGTTGTTGCAAATGGTAAGATTTCATTCTTTTTTATAGCTGAGTAATATTCCTCTGTGTGTGTGTGTGTGTGTGTGTGTGTGTGTGTGTGTGTGTGTACCACATCTTCTTTATCCATTCATCTGCGGATGGACACTTGGGTTTCTTCCATATCTTGACTATTATAAACAATGCTGCAATAAACATGGGGGTGCATGTATCTTTTTGAATTAGTGTCTTTGTTTTCTCTGGGTAAATACCTAGTAGTGGAATTGCTGAATCATATGGTAGTTCTGTTTTTAGTTTTTTGAGGAACTGTTTTCCACTGTGGCTCCACCAGCTTGCATTCCCATCAACAATGCGCAAGAGTCCCTTTTTCTCCACATCCTCACCAACACCTGTTATTTCTTATGTTTTTATGTTAGCCATTCTGAGAGGTGTGAAGTGATACCTCATTGTTGTTTTGATTTGCATTTCCCTGATGATTCGTGATGTTGAGCGTCTTTTCACGTATCTATGGACATCTGGATGTCTTCTTTGGAAAAATGCTCATTTTTTAATTGGATTGTTTGTTTTCTTGGTGTTGAGTTGTATAGGTTCTTTATATAACATTATATTTTTAAGTGAGTAAGACAGGTAAGGCACATGGATTCTATTTGATCTATCCCCTTCAGGATTCCTCCACATGCTGGTAAACACTGGCTGACAGAGAGAACATACAGTGGGATTTATACCCGGCTCCCGGATCAGTGAGCATCTGCCAGAGCACCAGATATACCAGCACTTGCCTGAGACGTAATTACTACTAGCCAGCCAGGCCCAGAGAAGGGCCAGAGGTTGAGCAGGACCTTCCACAGTGGGTCTCAAACGTTAGCGTGCAAAATACTACTCGGGATGTCTATTGAAAAGATAGATTTTTCTCATACCAGAACATTTTAGTACTCTCAGAGGAGCCTGGAAGCCTGCTTTTTAAAGAAATAGCATAGGTAATTCTGATGTGGGTAGTATACAGACCTTGCTTTAAGAAAACCTGACCTAGAAGTATCCTGAGATAATCACATTCTTTCCTAGACCCTTCCTAATTTTAAATTATTTGATCATATCTGTTCTCATCTGTAGTAGTCAGCTTTGACTGCTGTAACAATGTACCACAGACTGGGTGGCTTAAACAACAGAAATTTATTTTCTCACAGTTCTGGAGGCTAGGTGGTTGAGATCAAGGTGTCGGCAGGGCCACGCTCTCTCTGGAGGCTCTAAGGAAGTTCCTTCCCAGCAAGGTTGTTTTCTCCTGAGGCCTCTTTCTCTAGCTTGCAGATGGCCGCCCACTCCCTATGGCTTAACATGGTTGATGCTGTGTGTGCATGTGTCTGATGTCTGTCTCTTTCTGTGTATCTTCATCTCTTCTTACAAGGATACTAGTCACATTAGATGAGGGCCCACCCTCAGGACTCCCATTTTAACTTAATTACCTCTGTAAAGGCCCTGTCTCCAAATGCAGTCCCATTCTGAGGTACTGAGGGTTAGGGCTTCGATATATGAACTTTAGCGGGACACAGTTCAGCCATAACATCATCCTCCTGTTTACACTGCAGAATCTGCTATTTAAGTAGCTCCTTGTGGAAGGGATGTGGAAGCCCCAGTTTTGATTATTTCAGCTGTTCTCTTGACTGGCTCCTATCTCATTAGACTTTTCTTGAAGTTAAGCAAACAAAGCAATACACCATATTCCAGGTGTAGATATGGTCTTTTGTTTTGTTTTGGTTGGTTGCCCAGGGCAAATGAAGGGGCTTATCTTTTAACTTTCTTGACCACTGTGGCACGTTCAGTTTCAAGACAATTCAATATTGGGGCACCTGGGTGGCTCGGTCGGTTGAGCGGCCAGCTCTTGATTTCTGCTTAGGTTGTGACCTCAGGGTCGTGGGTTCGAGCCCTTTGACAGGCTCCATGCTCAGCGGGGAAGCTGCTGGGGATTCTCTCTCTGCCCCTATCCCTGCTGGCTCTCTCTCTCAATTAATAAATAAATAAATCTTTAAAAAAAAAAAAAGACTATTCAGTACCTACAATGGATAAGAATCTGCATTTGAGCTGACTTCAGGGAACAATTTCAGATGATGCTAAATTTATAGTATTTCAAAGTTCATCTTAGATATAAAATATATATCTATATAAACTTTTTTTGCCCTGCCACCTTTCAACCCACTTAGGTACCCTCCTGAGATTTTGTTGTTGTTGTTGTAGCTTATTTCCAAACAGCCCAGGCAGACATGTATAAATGCTTTCAATGACTGTAACAAGTTTGAGAAGGCCAGTTCTTCTAGAGAGATCTGAAGAAAGCAAGGACCTTCTTGAATAGGTTCCTGCTAATTAGAGCTCTGTTTATCAAAACGCAAACACTAATCAAGTCAAGCATTTGAGAGCCTTCATGTGCACCCCAAGTGGGGGAAAGGGAAAACAGACTCCACCCTATAGCCACAGGAATGGTAGAGTTTCAGTTTCAAAAGCCTTACACCGGAACCACAAGAAGATGGTCCTTTGAAAGAGAAAGATGACTTCTCACATTTCCAGGAGTTTCCAGATGTTTTAAAACAATCTAACCACAACACCTTAGAAGGTTTGATTCCACCCATCTGGTGGAATACACATAGCAAATCAGATTATAACCAGGAAGGGGCTCC